CCGCACCGGGACCCAAAGGCCAGGCTCCCGGGCCCCTCCCAGCGACAGCCCGAGTCTGGCCCGCGATCTCCAGCGCCAGCGCATCTCATAGGCTAAGCCCACCCGCCCGTCTGCTCAGCTCTCCTCCGGGACCTCTCCTCACCTCGTCCGCTCTGGGGCGCCGACTTGTCCCCCGCCGCCTCGGATCTTCTGAGTCGCTGCAGGGGAGGCTCCGAATTCCTAGCAGAAATTGGGAATGGAAGCCCGGGAAGTAGGAGGTGTTTGCTCAACTTCTAAGGACGTCACGCCTCTGCCTCCCGTAGCCAATCAGCAGCCGTCCTGCGGGAACAACCTTCTCCTCCACCAATCGGCGGCCTGGCAGGTGCTACGTCATGCCCGGCCCCTGCTCCTCCCCAAGGTCCTTCTGCCTCTCTGATCTCCGACCTGCGTTCTCAGCTGGGACTTCGAGTTCTCCCAGGATAATTATCGACCAGGTTTGTAACTGTCCGTGGCAGAAGGCCGGCGGGGACAGAAAACAACGAAAATAGTCGGGGCATTACGCGCTAAATATAGGTGCACATCTCCTGGGGAAAAGTTGCGAGTGCCGGTACCTCACGTTTGTTTAGCTATGGGCACTTTTCAAAGCATTTCACCGCCTTGTCACAAGCATATGAAGCCAGATAACAGTTCTTACAACAGTTTTAGAAGCCAGCAAGCAGAGAATCTGAGAAATTAAATCTGAGTGTGTTCATGTGCATATGGCAATGTCCAGTGTTCTTGAAAGGTCCTAACTACGTAGGAGGCCTGGAGGGAGGAGGAAAACGTATTTCATAGACACTATCCCCAGCACTAGGAACTGAAAAATCGTCTGAAGCCCCGCTGTGATTCCCCCAAGGAGTCAATGGTCAGAAGTTAATCTTCCCTCCTGTTTTTACAACTTTCTCCACCACTTACTCTTCTTATACCTGCCATAGATGTATTTAGCTACTGAACTCTTAAGTCAACAATAGCCAGAACATTCTTGAGACTCCACTCATATCTCGAATTGCAGATAAAATTATTTATTTATTTATGGTAGAGATGGGGTCTCACTGTGTTGACCAGGCCACTGGTATGGAACTCCTAGCCTCAAGCTATCCTCCTACCTCGTCCTCCCAAAGCACTGGGATTACAGGTGTTAGCCATTGTGCCCAGCTCCAAATTAGAACTCTATCTGTAAGTAGAGTTAGAATTTTCTTCGTATCTTTAGCTTCACATTTACAAAATCCGATCCCTTATCATTCTTGGAAAGTCTTCCAAAGGCTGTGTAGTGGTTCACACCTGTAATCTCAGCACTCTGGGAGACTGAGGCTGGAGACCTGGGCTCAAGTGAGCCCAGGAGTTTAAGACTAACCTTGGCAACATAGCAAGACCTGTGTCGACTAAAAATAAAAATAATAAAAAATAAATAAAATTTTAAAAAGCCCGGTGTAATGGCACATACCTGTGGTCCCAACTACTCAGGAGGCTGAGGTGGAAAGATCATTTGAACTCCGGGGATGCTGCGGCTGCAGTGAGTCATGATCATGCCACTGCACTCTAGTCTGGGTGATAGAGTAAGACCGTGTCTCAAAAAACAAAATAAAATAAAATAAAATAAAGCCTTCCCTTTTGTGTTCACCTGCTCTGTTATTAATATCACTGCATTCCTCCTACTCACCACCTGTCCAGACTTAAAAAACCACGGTCACTTCAGTTCTTCCTCTGGTCTCTCGGACTTACCCGTGGTGTTGACTCTGTCCTTTAAAAACCCCACTACTATCACCCTACTTCAAACCCCTTTTTATATACAACATAGTCCATATTTTTTTAAGCATACAACTCTAATTGTCTCATTGGCCTAAGCAAAAAGTCTCAGAGACTACCCAGTACTTGTGGAACATTAGCCCAAAGTTGTTCGCATAATGTTAGTCGCTTCAGATGTGGCCAAAATCAATGACCTTAGCTTTATTTCTGCAGCAGAACCAGCCTGAAACCACCACTGAAACACAGTGTATGCCTTGCTATCTTCCTAAGGATTAAGCATGTGGGTAAGAATGTAAGAATCGTTACTTTTCTCCTTCGAGTTGTAAATCATGGGCAAGTTACTCAATTTAAAAAAAAAAAAAAAACCTGTGCTCCACTATCTGTTAATGGGTTAATAATAGCAACTACTTCCTGGAGTCATGAGAACAAAATGAGATAATGGCCAAAGTGCTCTGTCAAGTGTCTTGCTAAAGAAACTGGAAATCATTATTTATTTTCCTCCAAATACCTCATGTTATACCTTTATCTGTAATTCTAATTTACAAAAATATGCACCTTTCTAAAACTAACCAGCCCTTTGGGGTTCAGCTCAATGCCACTTAAATAATGAAAACTTTCCTGAATATTTCAGCCAGATGTGATTGTTCCCCTTCTCCCTTGTGTATTGACCTCTCTTATTGTACTTATCACAGTCTTCCTTTTATCATAGTTATTCATACTTATCTTATCCACATTGCTCAGCTCACCTGTCATCACCACCATAAAAAAAAAACCTCTTTTTTTGTTGTTGTTTTTTTGTTTTTTTTTTGAGAAGGAGTCTCACTCTGTCGCCCAGACTGGAGTGCAGTGGCCGGATCTCGGCTCACTGCAAGTTCCGCCTCCCGGGTTTACGCCATTCTCCTGCCTCAGCCTCCCGAGTAGCTGGGACTACCGGCGCCCGCCACCTCGCCCGGCTAGTTTTTTGTATTTTTTTGGTAGAGACGGGGTTTCACCGTGTTAGCCAGGCTGGTCTGGATCTCCTAACCTTGTGATCCGCCCGTCTCGGCCTCCCAAAGTGCTGGACTTCCTCTTTTCTTTTATTTTCTTTCTTTCTTTCTTTCTTTCTTTTTTTTCCATTGCTTCTAGTACGATGCTATGCATATAATAAGTCAATCGGGGTCTCAGCAGGAAATAGGTGGCACAATCCAACTGGGTAAATTAGGAGACACAAAAGGACTGAGTGTGTGCAGGGATAAAGGAAAGTGGCAGTATATGTGTCATGTAGTTCCTGGGGCTAGCAACATTGACAATCACTCGTAGGCCTAAACAGGGCCAGGGAAAGAACTAGTTACCAGAACTCAGGAATAGTTCTATCTGTAGTGTAATGGTAGCTGTAGCTGTAACTTTAGGGAGTGTCATTCAACCAACAGTAGTGTTTCTGGCAGGAAAAAAGCTGCCTAAAGATTAATCCTGCCTGCCGGGCACAGTGGCTCATGCCTGTAATCCCAGCACTTTGGGAGGCCAAGGTGGGCAGATTACCTGAGTTCAGGAGTTCGAGAACAGCCTGGCCAACATAGTGAAACCCTGTCTCTACTAAAAATACAACATTTAGCCAGGCGCATTGGCATGCGTCTGTAAGCCCAGCTACTTGGGAGGCTGAGGCAGGAGAATCGCTTGAACCTGGGAGGCGGAGGTTGCAGTGAGCCGAGACTGCACCACTGCACTCCAGCCTGGGTGACAAGAGTGAGACTCCATCTCAAAAACAAACAAAAAAGATTTATCCTACCTGAAGAGGAACCTACTAAGGCAGGGGTCAACAAACTTTTTTTCTGTAAAGGGCCAGAAAATAAATATTTTAGGCTTCACAGATCATACCATCTCTGTCATGTCATGACTACTCAGCTCTGCTGGCTGGAGTGTAAAAGGCAGCTATAGGCCATATTTAAATGGATATGTGTGGCTGTGTTTCGATAAAACTAAATTTACAAAAGTAGGCTGCAGGTCAGATAGGGCATCTGGGCTATAGTTTGCAGACCCCTGTTCTTCCATAGGGAAGGAATAATCTTACTTCACTCTGCTCCTGCCCCTTTATCTCCTGCTGGTGGCTTCTACTAATTGAACATAAATAGAGCCAGATTGTTAGTGCAGCCCAAAAAGGTCCCCTTCCATTGTGGGGGCAGAGCAGGTGCAGAAAGGGACAGAAATTCTAGAGGGTTCAAAGGAGAATATTCAACACAAAATGGTTTCAGCAACTGCTTGTTGAAATGAATGAATTGTATGACTGGTCACTGTGAGTCCCACTGCAAATGGTTGAACACTCATGGAAAAACTGCTGAAATTTAATTCCTAAATAGGAAAAGCTGGGAGAGGGCCCTGGACCATCATGAATCCAATGAGGACCTGAGGCTCAGTGTGCTTCTCTCTTGCTTTACTTTAGAAATTTTGCAAAATATACACATGAGAAATACTGGTTCTTGAAATGAGGAATTTTGAATGTTTTTTGGTGTGGTGACATTTGTTGTAATGAGTGCGACAGATCTCAGAAATTTCTTTATAATGAAAGGGATAACAGATGAGAGACAAAAGCAAACCTTGGATACCCCTCAAGTCAGCTCCTGCAATCAACCCCTCAAACATTTTTAATAA